AAAGAGTATTCTCCGAGGAGAATAGCGCTAAACCAGCGCGAGACTACGCAACGCAATAATGTCTTGACGGACTGGCAGACTAACGCGAAATAAACTAAATCTACCGCAAGAGATGACGAACTTACATACTAACGCAATGTACAACTAAATCTACGCAGGGGAGAATATCTACACGAGGAAAACGCGAATTTGACCGCAAGCACACGAGATTACGGAAACGGCGTAACGCAAAAGAATCATTCTCGACGAATAAACTACGATCACGAGAGTCGCGCCTGACGCACCGCCGGGTAATACGCGATCGCAACCACAGATACCGTAAGAATGTTCGCGAATTACCGAATCGAGATATCTATCGCGATCTCCAGGACTTTCACGCGATGAGTACTATTCACCGGCCACGAGACCATTCCAAAGCCCTTCGCTCTCGCTCTCGATCGCAGATGCAAAATTACGAGATCTCAATTACGCGAGTACTTTAGGCGAGAGCGTGGCCCGGAGGGCGGTGTCGTGGCTTACATAACTACCGTCTATTACGAGGCAACCTCACCGGTAAGATACTCCCTCGGTCGGGGTTGTCCTCTCCGCCGTCACCAAGAACCGTCGCGAGAGAATCAGGCACCAGGTGCGCAGCAAGAGTCGGTCGAGAAGCGCTCAAGAAAGCCGTGCGTGTCGTCCCGAGGGTGGCTCAAGAATGATCGCGGAAGTGCGCTCGATAGAGGCGTCGATCTAACGCCCCTAGCGGGACATGCGCGACCCTTCCGCGCGATAAGCGGACCAATTGGCGATGAGCTCGCAAGCTCGCGAGGGAGCCGCTCGCAGGGTTATCGACCGTGGATTCGGCGGGGCGTTCGAACGTGCCCTTCGCGCTCGCGGGGTCCTTCCAGGTTTCCCCGTTGTAGTAGGCAAGGCGATGACTCCCGCGGTGTCCTCTGGCTCGACTCGGGGGCGGTGGCCATCCACCCCCAGAGTCCGTCTGGCCTCGGAGGACTGCAGACAGGCCCGGCGCCGGGCCCCTGCGATGCACAGGTTCGCCTGCCGTTGCTGGCGCGCAGCGCGCGCGTCTCACGTCGTCCCTCGCTTAGTAGCGGTCCTCGTAACTCGGGCTCCTCGCCCTCGACATCTCGCTTTCGGTCCTTGTGATTCCGTTTATCATCCGGCTCTCCTTGTACTCCTCGTCATCTTCAGTGTGGCGTTGGAACTCCAACTCGACGGGGTGAGGCGCCACGCAATATCGCAAGAGAAAAAAAAACAATAATGAGTATTTGAATCGCAACTTTAATACGCCCCTGGAGATCAAAGGTTGATTCGTGAGCCGTCCTCGGGCGCGCAATCCGCGCCTTGTGACGGCGGCGGAGCGCTGCCACGCCGCGGCGAAACCGCAACGTCACAATATATATATATATATATATATATATATATATATATATAAGTAGTTAGTGTAAGCTGATTCCACCCCGGGGCTCCGAGGGGGGGTGAGGGAGAGGGGGATATTGGATTTTGCGGGGGAATGAGGGGGAGGGGAGTATTAATACCTTGCAACCGTTCGCATAGCTGAGCAGCCGAGCAACCCCGAGGGGCAGCAGCGACCAGGGGAGCAGCGGACATCGACAATTTTCGAATAGTATTACCGGATAAGCGAGTCCGAAGAGCCCATATGGCTAGCGTTTACCCGAATCCCGAAATATAGGTGACCGGGGTACGATTGACCCCGGTAGGCGAACAGCGGATGATCGACCGAGCGAGCCAACGAGCGGGCCTTGGAAGGAGAGCCAAGCAGAGCACGCGCAGAGGGGCACGGCGGTCATAGCCGGGGGCCGAGCCGCGTAAATCGTTTCAAGGGCGACCCGGAGGGCAACCAAATCAACTCCGACGCGATAGCTCCAGCGGGCGCAAAGATCGCGGCGTCACGGGGGTGACCCCCGCGCCGAGGGGCACGGAGGTCGCAGCCGAACCACGGAAATCGTCTCATGGGTGTCCCGAATGACGACCCACCGGACCGCGAAGCGACAACGCCAGCGGGCGCGGAGATCGCGGGGTCACCCGAATGACCCCCGCACCGGGGGGCACGGAGGTCTTAGCCGAAGGCTGAGCCGTGGAGGTTGTCTCAGGGGACGCACAAACAAAGACCCACCGAATCGCGACGCAATATCACCGACGGGCGCGGTGATCGCGGGGTCACGAGAATGACCCCTGTACCGGGGGGCACGGAGGTCACAGCGGACGACCGAGCCGCCAAACATGCCTCAAGGGCGACCCGAAGAACAACCGAACGACTCGCGACGCGATATCGATAACGGAAGCGGGTTTAGCGGGGGCAAACAATGACCCCCGGATATCGGAAACCGAGGTAGCCCGGAGGAAAATGGCGGGTGGAGAGTCTCTAGAGGAGGCGCCGAAGTAAATTCGGAGGGTCAGCGAGACCACTCAATCGTGGAATACCCGAACCCGGGAACCGGGGGAGCGGGGCCCAGCGGGGCCCATGCCGATGCGTGCGATTAGTTATAAGGCGTAGATTGAGAACCGCAGGCGTCACCGGCGACGAAAACAGGCAAAAACTATCGAAAGAAAAGTGAAAGCGGGTAACATCTGGCACGGAAAAGTACCAGGATGTGAATAACAACCCGCTGGTAGGAGTAAAGATCCCGAGGTGGGATAGCCGAGAGCGCTCGGCAACTCGTGGCAGTCGCTCGGATACCGCGGTCGGGGTAACACGCTCTGAAGATTCGCGGTATGTAACAACCAAGCACTCCCGCGTATTTGCGCGTTAAACATAGCTCGTATTACAATTGCGAAAGGCAATCGTTTGCCATTTGTAACAACGTTCGACGAAATGTGTCAGCGTGAAATTGTAAACCACAGCGACGATCTGAAATAAATCAATCGTTTGTTAATATACGCAGTGTCAAGTTAATTTCGAATTACTTAGCTGCCATTTACCTTGTCTTACGGCATCGATCCAGCGAAGTCCAGCGGCGTTCCAGTATGCGATAAGGCAAAGATCTGGGGCAGTCAGCGGCAGTTGAGATCCATCCGGGGCGAGAAGATTTGCTCGGGTGAAATACCTGAAACAGAAATTGACCGATTAATTAAACGTATCCGTTATCTACTTACCTGGTACTCCGAGGGTGGTCCCACGTTGTCCATCGATGATCCAGCAGTGGGGAGGCAGCGTCGGGGCGTCGAGACATCCTGCGTCGAGAACCTGAAAATAAGAGAGAATTAATGTGATAGCGTTGCAATATCGCGTCATAATTTCGATACTCACCTTCTCGGTACATATGGGTCAAACCGAGTGGCGACCGTTTGATAGGCAAATCTGGCTGAAATCTCACATTTTCGTGTGAGCCACGTACCCGGAGAGTGACGTCCGGTCACACCTTGGAACCGTACGTTAAAACGTCCGTTCCCCAGATCAGTCGCGAACCGAGTCTGGACACCTCGAACATGTCGCAGGCGAGGAACAACACCGCCAGGGAAAAAAAGGTACACCGGTACCTGAGAAGTGCAGCCAGGTAACCAGGGAGCTCGACAGCGGTCTTTGCGAGGCCGACAGCCAAATAATAGCGGAGATCCTGACTCAACAAGCCGACGAGGAGGTCAGCAGACTGTTGGAGGTGGGCTCACAGCCCGCTGGACCACCCGGAAGTGCGGAAGTACAGAAGGGGCAGCAGCCTGACGCGGCCGAATCACAGGTCATGGAATACGAACGATTATAAACAAGTGGTTCTTGTGATTTATGAAAGACTGTTCATTTTACTTTTATTTTCATTTACTTTTATACGGATATATGTTTATTTCATTTTATATTAGTTTTTCAAGAACACACTTTAGTCTTAAGCGGGGTTCACAGCCCTTGTGTGATTATGTTACTAAGTTCAATTTATACACCTTTTATTATTATTGCATGAAGTAGCACGGCTACGATTGATTACTACACCTTTTTATTTACACTCTCTACACTTACACACTACCATTGTGACTACACATAAGAATAAAACCTTTTTATATATCCTTACACTTTAATCCAGTCATTCACCTGTCGTTACATACGATATTAAGCCAGAGGGCACAGATTTAGATTAGAAGATGAACTCGGACAAGTTCCGAATAGCAATATTAAGTTTCATATTCAGTTTGTTTGCGATAGCGATAGTTTCAATCCTACTGCTAGTGTATTCGCATAAAGCCGGTTCACAATATCATTACTTACCGTAGAAACAATCAAGCATGAAGTTTTCGGAATACCTAGTGGTCGTTACGATTATATTCGTACCGTTAATTATTAATTTTCCAGATCCGTATTTAGTTTTTGTTCTATTTACACTTTTCACAACATACATTATGATTTTAAACGATCCCGCAGGGGAATGACACACCCACACCTTTGTGACACACCTTTACACTTTTTACACTCGTAGCGTTGAGAATATAGCATGAAAACGACACCGATAGAGGTGATACACTTCGCTACACTTTTCTACACTTTCCTACATTTTACACACCAGAGCGTTACCAGCGAGAGCGCGATACGAGCCAACATAGGCGTTACACTTTTCATACACTTTCCTACACTTTTTTACACTTTACACTTGAGCGCGTTACCAGCGAGCGTGCGATACGAGCCAACATAGGCGTTACACTTTTAATACACTTTCTTACACTTTTTTACACTTTACACTCGAGCGCGTTACCAACAAGCGTGCGAAACGAGCCGACACAGGCATTACACTTTAATTACACTTTACGACACTTTCTTACACTTTATACACAAGCGCGTTACCAGCGAGCGTGCGAACCGAACCAACGAAGGTTCTACACCGAACAACACTTTAATACATTTTTTATAACTTTGATATTTCTCTTAGAGCCATATGGATTTGTTCCAGGCATACATTTACACTTTTGTTACACCTTATTGCAACTATGCTCATTTTGATTTACACTTTGTTACACTTTTATGTTCTTTTTACACTTTGGCACGGAATTGAGCCATTTTGACTTTGTATTCTTTAATTTAATAACTTTTTAACTTTCCCTGTCGATATTAAGACAACTTATGTATTACTCATTGTGCATGCGATAGATTAAGTCGCTATTATTATACTTACCTTATTTTATATACTTACCGTTGATCACCGCCGGTGACACTAAAAGAGACGATTCCTCAAACGATCCGAGACACCTGAAACAAAAAGAAAAAGATTAATTACAATCGCGTTTAACGCGTACTTACCTGGTTTCGTAGGGATTCGTTGAAATGACTTTCATACGTGGAGAGTCACTCGGTGCGAGCCTAGTGACTCTAAGTCCGCTTACGCGAAGATTCGCGGTGCAGCGGCGCGATTGGTTCACGCGCGGGCGATAGCCAATTCGCGTCTTTGCACCTAAAGGAGCGGCATCTCACTAAAAGTGTAGATGCCGAGTCAACGCGAACGACTCGGCATACGAGCATTTACACTTTTAGTGTTTGAGGAGTCGTACCAGCTACACCGCGGACACGACTAGCCAATGACAGAGGTTGGCGCCCGTTTGCGCGTCATGGCGCATGCGTCGCGCTTAGGTGGGAAAACCACACCCGTCCCTCGTGGACAGTTCGCCGTGAGATATCGAAGCGTCAACACATTGAGCGTTGCGCGTAATAAATTCGACTTCGGCTTGCTTATCCCGTTTACCGCCTACGATAAGCGCGTGTGATATTTCATCGCGGATAGTCCGTTGCGCGATTACGTGGCGTAGAAGTTGCGTGATAAAACACGTATCCGACCGGCTAATCCCGTTGATTGCTTGCGCTGTTAGCGTGAGTTATTACCGAGAAAGAGATTGTTAAAAGCAATTACGCGATCCGGGATATCAGATCCTCAAACACGAGAGTGATAATTGTAAGCGAGACGGCGGTTCGAGAACACTCAACGTACGATACAAGCGATCGAGCGAACGCGTCCGTTCCTACACGGAGATTGCTGTAGTGAGGAGAATAATAAATTGTTAATCATTTTATTACTAAAATAAGTGATTTCAATCGTGATCCCAGTGAAATTCCTATCCATACGTCCGGAATTACGCGTCGTTATACCAGGGCGTGGTCGACGACCTTGAACACGTTCGCGGCGCAGTACACGGCGGCCATTAAGCTGGAAGGAAGGAAGGGACATAGCAACAGCGAGAGGTTTCTGTATTTGAGCCTTAAAATACAGTGGCGACCGTATAATTCAGCCCAAGTAGTAAGTGGCTATATTTTGATTTTTAACATCATCAATCGTTGTTCCGGTCACAACCTAACCTTGGAACCGGGTGATAAATCATCCGTTCCAGCGTCGAGTTCTGCTTGCTCCGCAGACGACATCCGAGAGCCAATGAGCGTGCAGAGGGCAACGGTGCCGAGAGCGGGCATGACGGAGCCGACGACGCCGTTGACACAGGCGGCCAATGAGGAGGAGGCAAACAACCTCGAGGACACCGAGATCGCGCAAATGCTACAACAGATTCCGAAAGGGGTAGCGAAAGCTATCATCCTTGCCGAAGGAGCCGAACAGCCCGCTGGACCAAGCGAGGTTGACGACGTGGTGGCCAGCCAATCTCCAGCAGCGGAGGAGGTGGTCGAGTCGACGGTCCCGGAGGACCAGTCACAGCGCATGGAGGACTAAACCTGTGGCTAAGAGACTTTTTTTCGATATATCTTTATTATTCTTTGTGTTTATTTTGATTTTGATGTATTTTATTGAAAAACGTTTATAACGCATGTTAAAGCGAAGCGCGACACAGCGCAAATCTCCGAGCGAGAGTTATTACATTTTATTTTATTATTTTAATTACGACAGGTGCCATGGTGCATGTTAGAGTGTTATACGAAGGTATTGTTTTATTTTGAAAGATTTATTTATTTTTATTCGAGTATTAGAAAGATTGCGCGAAATAAGCGTAGTAGATTTATGTAAGCGAGCGAGTTATTCTTAGAACACATTAAAAACACGACTGACTTCAAATAAGACTGAAATACATTTAAAACACACACATTTACCAATCCCAATCATCCCGAGACAGAAAGTTCATAATTAAAGTAAAGAAGTCATTAGAGTAGAGTAAAGAGCCAATCAGGGGCCAGAGTCAAAGTTTTAGAAGCGATGGATTCGGATAAGTTCCGTTCTTAGTTTTGGCATTCATTTTTGTTTTATTTGCAATAGCGATCATATGCATACTGTTATTAGCCTATTCACACCGGGTGAAAGCAGAACCTTATTACTTAACGTAGAACGACCAATCAGAGTCATGCATTTCAAAGAATACATAGTTGTCACATTAATCATCTTTATTCCCATTATAATATCATTTCCAGACGTACAGACAGTTACACTGATTTTCACACTATACACGCTATACATATTATTATTAAGCATTGAGATCGATCCGCGATTGATCATCGACGAACGATGAGCCGTCAGAATAAAGTTTCGCATGAGAAAGGACCAATAGGGTTCGAGATAGACGGTTTCACATTTATTCTTTTCATATTAAACGATTTGACAGCAAAACAGTCATGTCGAGTCGAGACGACCAATGGGGAGCGACCCAGTCAATTTTGTTAAGATTAGCATTAGTTTCGATAGATTTATCAGTATCGCACATTCTCGACACAGCGATGGCCAATAGGAGCGATTCCTGGCATTTTGACTTAATTTTAAACATTTTGAAAATACTTTATGATTTTGCGAGGCCTTCAGCCAATGAGAGCACGAGGCGCAACCTTTTGATAATCGCGACGAACCGACCAATAGGAAGCGAGCGTAGCTCAGCGTAGCTCAGACCATATCGTCTGATTTCGAGGCGTTAACACACGTTTCGACGGTTACGCGAATATTACTCGAATCGAGGTGGCTTATCCCGTGATCGCCTACGATAAGCGCGAACATCCAGCCGTAATATACAATTGCGGGCACGTTCTATATACGCGAGACGACTTTTAGTCGCAATTAGCTCTGGATCGTGGATATTCGAGTTCGAGAAAGCTCGTTGCCGGTGATAGCGCAAGTGAACGAAACGGAGAAACTGTAAACTGTGAAATATTAAATTGTTATTTGTTTATAATAAACAAACGAGTCATTATTCGCGACCCCAGTGAGAATTCTGTCCCATTGTCCGTGAATTATGCAACGCGCAACCAGGGCGTGGCCGACGGCCTTGAACACGTCCGCGACGTAAAAGACGGCAGCCATTAAGCTGAGAGGAAGGACGGGGCAACGCACACGATTCGGGTTTCTGTATTTCAGCCTGAAAATACAGTGGCAACCGTAATTTCAGCCCTAGTAGTAAGTGGCTAATATTTTGATTTTTACATCATTCATCGGTGATCCGGTCACAACCTTGAAATCGTTGGCTGAACCACCGATTACAGAGTCGACTCTTGAGCGAAGCGGCGGAGAGAGCCAGCCAGTCACGGCGGCCCAGGCGAGCGAACCAGCGCGGGGCATGGCGGAGCCGTCGACCGAGCCAGGGGAACCGGCCAACCAGGGGGTCGAGAACGTGGAAGGCGAGGTGGATTGTAGTTTTGAGAGTGTGGCCAGCACTCAGATCCTATCGCCCATCGAAAACATAATTGCCGGAGCGATACCCTTCGATCAAGGACAGCCAAACGAGAGTCAGCCCGCTGGACACGGCGAGGCACGACGAGACGACCATCCGACTATACAGCCCGCTGGCATAGGCAAGGCGATTCCCGTAGTAACCGGCCAACCGAGGAGCGCCGGGGATGACGACATCAACTTTGGCCAAATGAGCCAGAAACAGGCGACGGACATGTAGAACAGTTCCGTGCGCGTTTAGTATTAAATATTCATGTAACCTTTATAAAGATATATATTTGTTTGTTTGTTTTGTATGACAACCTTTTGAGAGCAACACGCATGTGCAATTCAACGCCAAAGAGCGATACCGCGACAAGAGTCGTTATTTTATGTTAATTTCTTTTATTTTATTTTATTAATCACATTATGTTAATTGTGCATGTCGAAATATATTATTATCTACCCGATATCCTAATTCATTCCATACCTACCAAAAAACATATTAGATTCACATAAAGTAATTCAGTTAAAAACATTATAGTCAAATAGATTCGTTAATTATCAGAAGTATGAAAGTAAGTTTCGCAAAAGAGCCAATCACAGGCCAACGTTCCATTATGGACTCAGACAAGTATAGAATCATAATTCTTGCATTCATATTTTCTTTGTTTGCTATTTCAATAGTTTGCATATTACTGCTAGCGTATTCCAATGTTGACAAAGCCATTCCGTATTACCAGGCATAAGAAAGTTTCAAAGTAGCAAAGATGAAGTTCAAAGAATACCTAGTGGTTACCCTTATCATATTCCTACCAATAGTCATTAACTTTCCAGACGTTCAAACCGTCAGTATGATTTTCACCCTTTATACTTTATACATTTTGTTATTGAGCTTCGAGTTAGATCCCAGAGTGATCCCCGAGGACCCTTAATCCTACACACGCATGATTTGCGACAGCCAGTGCCGAGAGCACGAGCGAGGGCCAAGCGAGCCCATACTTAATTATTTTGTATTCATTTTCAATGTTTTATAATAAGTTTGACAGTAAAGGCATAATGCCGAATAGCGAGGACCAATGGGACTCATCCCGGTCTACTTTATTAAGAATAGCGCTAGTTGCGTTAGATTTAACTATTTTATGTATTCTCGACACAGCGATAGCCAATAGGAGCGATTCCTGGCAATTCGACATAGTTTTACAGAGTTTCAGATTGATTTATGATTTTGCAAGGCCAAGAGCCAATGAGAGCGCGAGGCGCAACTTATTCCGATGAGCGCGACGGATCGACCAATAGGAAGCGAGCGTAGCTCCGCGAAGCAAGAGAATGTCGTGAAGCGCGTAATTGCATTATATAACTTCATTTACGTTTATTTTAGTTTATTCCCTGTCGAGACAAGTACGATTAATCGTATTATATGCAGAATGATGCATTACTTATTATTTTATATACTTACCGTTTGGATACTTACCGACGATGTTCACCAGTCCATTGATTGGGCGAGACGATCCCGCGAAGACCCGGTACCTGAAAGAAAGGGAGAATTAATAAAAATTGATTCTAGTAATTACGCTACTTACCTGGTTAAATAGGGGAACGTCAAAGAGACCATTTTCGGTCACTCGGAAATCGTTCCGAGTGACTTGTCGCGAGTTTGCACATAGTGCAGATTGCGACGGCTGGCATTGGTTGCCGCGTCAGCAAGCGAGA